AGGACATTATAGGTTAAAATGATCCATGAAATTAAAAATAAATTATAACCACGTTTACGAACCAATATATAATTTAAATATAACCCTGGTTAGTTTAACTTCTTTAACTATAACAGTATAAATTTTTTTATAAATTATACCTGAATTACTTTTGTCAATACTGAATACCAATTTTTAAGTTATACCTGGTTTTACAGTATAATTATTATAATAATAAATAATATTTTAAATTTAACACTGAATAAATAAAAGAATAAATAAAATTTTAAATTTAACAGATGTAACATAGCATAAAACTAAATTTCTGTTATAATTCCTGTTAAAAAATTTTGTGTAGAACATTTTGAAATTTTTTTTGTGTTTTCCATTTAGGGCCAAACCTCTTTGACGTATGAAATTCTTTGAAGTATAATCTTTATTTCCTCCCCAAGTATAATCTTTATTTCTAAGTTGAAGATTTTCAAAGAGTCATTTTTTTCATTAAAAATAAAGAGATTTTAGTGTCTAACACAAGCATTGTTCATATCCCTTCTTTCTCCCCTTGTCAGCAAAAATAAGCGTGTCACAAATTCCTCTCAACCCCTAGGTACTTATGTGATATTTAAATGGTTCCAAAAGTTTGTTCTTCCTACATCTCCTAGATGAGAGAAGGCCTCCACATGGATCAAGTTTGTAGAACGACCTAACGAACATAAGCTGAACAATGGGGAAAAATATGAGATGTTTGGACATGACTACAGGATCACATTTCTTGCTTATGGTAACCCATGCAAAGGCTTTCTCTCTTTTTAGCAGTTGTTCGTTCTATTTTCTTATTATATATAACGCGAGCTGAATACCCGTTCTTCGGAAAACGCATAAAATATCCATAAATTAGTACTAAACCACACTACAAAAGGATGCCAAAAATTGAGAGACATATACAACACAATAAATAAAGCAAAAATAATTAAAATAATTTTTAATTATTATTATTTTTTGTCCTTCATCCTTCCCTTTTTGTTAATAGTTAATTAGCTCTCAGCAAAGTTATATACATAGTAAAAGGTATTTTAATATTTTTAGCTGAGAGTTCAGTGACTCATTTACAAATATTATATTTTTGCATTTTCACATTTTAATATAATGTTCAACTTTGTTGGCAATACTGAGGGTATAATGAGCAATGATTGTGGAATTAGAATTAAACTAAATTCCATGACGACCTTTATAAGCTTCTAAGATTCTTAATAATTACAAATTACGAGCTACTTGACTAATTTCCCTCCTGTTATCACAGATACTAAGTTGTAAATATTAACACAGTTATAATAATAAATAAGAATAATCATTATTGTCATGATAAATAAGGATAATCATTATTATCAAATGTTAGATGTTTTATTTTAAAAGGGGCAATTTAACGACAATGTTTCCTTCTCTTGATATTTTGCATTTTATAAAAATATATATTGGGTGCTGGATAGTCTAGGATGCAAATAAGATTTTTACATGAAAGTTAATCTCGAACTGCAGATTTTATTGTGCAATTAACCAATATATTTGATAAACAACATAAGGGTGTTATATTAGTTGTAATATTTACTAAAAAATGAGGTAAACACTTGTTTGCTTTCCCAGATTGTGATCAGCTACGGGTAAGAATTTTTTTTCTCTAACAGAGTTACTCGCTTCGCGTGATTCTTTGATTACTTTAATGCAAAATCATTTTATCGAGTGGTAACTAAAGTTATGTACAAAAATGAAAATTTGCTAGAGATTCCGATTTTCTAAACATCAAAGTGAACGATAATCTGGTGAGAAAAACCTAGGAGGGAAAAATTCACCTTCAAGAATTTACTCATTGACGCTTTTCTAAAACTGCGTTAGTGCAAATTTCTTAACCTTTTCATAGCATTATAAATTGCATATAATAAAAATTACCAGATTTTCCGTATTGGAAGAGAAAAAAATATTGGAATTTTTGCAAGCTTTTTCCATAGGACTCCCACGGGTCAGGAAGAACAAGGAAAACCTGGAATTGTCAGAGAATTCTATTTTGACTCTAAAAAATAGAGAATAGTCAGGGAAGGTTGCAATTTTTTACAAAAACTTGGAAAATTCCTACATCATACCTGGAAAGTAACCAGTCTCAAAATTGTCAGTAGCAGTGATCAGCTATTTAGGTTTAAGTTGCTAAATAATTTTAACATCTATTGCAATTATTTTTTATAAAAATTTCACATTTTAGTGAAACTTCCATTCTCATTCAATGATATTTTTTTGCTTACAAAATCTAATATTTGACATTAAAAATAAAAAGTTTTCGAATGAAAAATTGCATTGTATAAATAAAATATGGTCTGCATTTTCATTAAAATTTTCCTGCTGGAAAAGTCAAGGAATATTTTTTTTTTTTTTTTTGTAATTGAGTGGAAACTTTGCTTCCATTTTCTATAAATTGGAATAATACTTCAATTTTCAGTTGATAGCAAATAAAATAAAAAGTTTCATGAACTGCAAGTTTCAAAATTAGTGCATGCTAAACACAGTTAAAACAAGGCTAATACTACGCATGAGTTTCGTTCAATATTTTCTTTTCACTATTGGTTTCCCCACAGCAGACGGTCTTTAGACTTTGTGGTAAGGAGAGTTCTTTCAAGAGACAAACTATAAAAGGTAAGGTAAATTCTGTTTGCCTGTTACAACAATATCTTTTCAATCGCAAAATTTTTAAATAATTTCTTCATTTCATTTAAGTCGAATTTATAATTTTGATATCCACATACATTTTTCAATTCTTCCAGACATGAATGGTATTTTTGTTGTAAAAATAATAAATGAAAGTTTTACATTTTTGTTACACAAAAACATACATCAATGCCTTTATTTTATCCCACTGCATAAGCTTTATTTATCCCACTGAGAAAAATTATTTGTATTTTTTGATTGTTTTTTGAAAGGAATAAAGAGCTTACAAACAGCTTTAAAAAAAAAACAACAACAACAAAGAGACATTATCAATAATGAAATACAAATGCTTAATAATGCATATACTTGCCATATTTCATTTCTGTTTGTTTCAATGATGGGTCAATCTAAAGTCACTAAAAGTGACTTTTTTGCTCTCAAATTATAACCTACAATTAAAAATACATTTTAGACCAAAAATGGCTAGCACAATATATAATATTGTGGAATTTCTCAAAATATTTTTGTTGTTTATTGACATTAGGCATAAAAAACTTTTTAAAATCAAGTTACAGGTATTTTGATGAAAAAACTATATATTTTTACTATGAGAATGGCTGTCACTTACCAAGCTTCTAAAAACAGCTTGCACAAATCATTTCAGAGTGCTTCTTCCACAAAAATCGAAATTTATTCATTCTTTTTTATTGTTTCTCATTCAACTTTATATATTTAGATTTTAAGCACACTGTAAGTTACTATTAACAATTTTAACCTACCGTGAATATTTTTTATGTGATAAACTTTAATTTGTTCATACAATTCAAAAAACATAGGTTTTATAAATACTGATTATAAATGTTAAAAAGCAATATTTCCTTAAATCAAATAATTTTAAAAAACCTGGAATCAGAAAAGTGTTGCTAGATTTTTTCTATGTTTTTTAAAGAACAGGGGGAAAAATAAAATAAAAATGCAGAAAAGTTTCTTTATTTTTAAACACAATAAAAAAATCTATTGAAAAATATGTTGCTGAACATTAAGAGGAAAAAAAAAGATCTTTTCGAGGAGGAAAAATGATAATTCAATAGCTTTATGTACGGCCTACATAAAATTAAATACAGTGCATTCCCGATTATCCTGGTTAATCACCGGGACAGGTCGCACGGACAATCGAAAAACACGGATAATCCGAAAACTCCTTTTATTAAAGAAAAATTCAATATCAGTACAAAAAACATAAAAATTTGTGACATTTGCATGCATAACATCAAACTAGGAATTTTCCTTATTGAAAAATGTGTAATGCGTCTTTGCCATACATCGATACACATATTTTACGAACCGCAGTAATGTCACCATAATCAAATCCTCCCAGATAATCTAATAAAGTTTCCACAGAACAGCAGAATGAGAAATTATATTTCATTCATTTACTACATCTTCTGCATCAGTTACTATCATCACTATTTGATTTAACAACATAACGATGTCTTCATCAGTCAAATACTGGAAGCCAGGCTCACATGCATCACTTTGAAAACAATCTTTTAAATTTTCTTCATCAAGAATTTCGAAACCTTAGATTTCTTTTGCTTGTTCGAGAATACTGTTATCATATTTTTCTTGAACATCTGAAGAGGATTGTTCATCAAGCGGTTTCATCTTTCCCCACGATCGTAATAACGTAGACGATTTTCCATATCATCCATAACGTAGACGATTTGTTCCATATACTGCAATCCAATAACGAATATTGCTTTCCAAAAATTTGGTAGTGTTATAACTTCATGAATCAAATTTTTTTAATCTTGAAAATGTTTCTCTTTATATTTTTTGTGTGACTCCGGAATAAGCACGGATAATCGAGAGTATACTGCAATTGTTTTGTACAGTTCTTACAATTTATTGTATTTGGTGTTTCAAAGCAGAGGATATTAATCAATATACCTTTTACTTGTGGTATAGCTAGCAGGGAACAAGAAAGAGCATATGTCCATGGCTATAGCATTAGAGATGCACCCAAAATTACAAAAAATAATTTCAAATGAATTCCGCAATAAATTTTTATATCCTTTCAACACTCTCTAAAGTTTCCTTTACTAATTACAAGCCCAATATTTATTAACAATTTTGATCCCATTTACCTAAAAATGGAATAGAATGTGTATTATTGTTGTAGTTTCCTATGCATGTAGGTTTATTACTTTTTAAATAATTTTTTGCAAATTGGAGAAACAATATGAAAAAATAAACACTCATCCTTCAATCAAAAACAAACATCTAAGTGTAGTACAGCCTACATACTTTATTCACGTATACTGTTCAATTTTAAACTAAATCAAATGAATGATTTTACAATGACGAGTTACAATGATTTAAAATTGTAAAATCTTATTCAATGTGAAATCTAATTAATGAATTTAGTTTTACAGAATATAAACTTATAACAGTTTCAAATAATTCCCTTAAGTTTGACAGTCCCAACAGTAAATTTGGTCCAAAATAGCAGGTACTTACGGACCTAATAATTGAAAATTAGGGTCCTGAAAACCCCCCCCCCATATTTAACCAAATCAAACAATATGTGGGATAAACTTAATAATAAAAGAAATTTTTTTATCTTGTTTAATTTAAAAAAAAATATTTAAGAAGTTTTTTTTTTTTTTTTTTAAATTAACTTGTTTTAAGATTTAGTAAAAATGTTTCAAATCACAAATATAAAATTTATTAAAGCCTGCATGCCATAATGAATTTGATAAATGCTACTCTTAGAATTAGAAAAAAAAAGGAAAAATGACTTAAGGTCATGAAGGAAATAACAGAGTTGTTCAAAGATCTCTCTTCTAACATTTGACTAATTTATTTCTGGAAACAATCTAAGTGATATCAGGGTTATAGGGAAGGACAAAATAACCAGCACTGATTGGAAAGAAAGAGATTAGAAAATTATAATAATAAAAGTCAGGAAGATTCTCCATTCCTTCAGGAAGACTCAAAGATTGTCCAGTAATTTACCTTTATTTTGACTGATTATTTCCTGCTGTGAAGATGTTTCTTGAGGAACAATTTCAGTTTTTCTGGCATTTCCTTTACCTCGTTGTGGCGTTAAAGGAGCTACTGAAACAATATATTGCTTATAAATAAATACAAACAACAGTATATTAATTTTTGAGCATTTTTATTCACATAACTTTTTTCTTCTTCAAAAATATATGTGTAGCCACAAAGTTGAAACTTTGGTCCTATCAACTCTTTTTTTCTTTTTTATGACAAAATTTTTTAAAAGGACAAAATGATTTTACAAATAAAATTTTCTTAAATATGCATTTATATATTTATACCGGGAATATTCTCACAATCTATTTACTCAAGATTCTGTTGCCAATCAATTGTTAGCATAATGAAGAGTTTTTTTTTTTTTTGCATATAAATAGAAATAATTTCTGCGCTAATGTTAGTTTTTTTTTTTTTTTTAAATTTTTAAGCCAACAACTTTCAGAAAAGGTTAAAATCTACAAAATGGACACAAAATACTAGATAATAATTTAAAAAAAAAAAAAAGAAAAAAAAACTCAATTTTAAATAAAGAAATGTAATCTACCAGCAACGCAAGAGCTAAGAAGAAAAGCAAATCTGTCAATGGGATCACTCCTTAAAATTTTACTATTGTAAGTCTTTTGATACAAATTTATAAGCATAAGCTTTATTTTACCTACCATTTCTTAAAAAAATAAATATTACCTAATTTACGCTTATTTTGTGCCAGTTCAGCAACATTTTTTTTAATCAATAATTTTATTATTAGAACCAATCCATTTCTAACTATACTAAATTTACTCAGTATTTTCTGTTAAATTCTAGAAAAGTTAAGGTTTTAATCTCTAAGTTATTTATGATTTCTTTAATTTTAATAATATTTTCGATTTAATAAAAATGTTCTGACAAAATTCTTGCCAAGATGACACGTGGTTTTTCTAAGGGACAGTAAAGTATGATTGATTGTTCCACTTAAATGCAAAGAAACTAAAGTAGGTTTAGAATTTGAGGAAAAACCGATTGTTATATTTATCTCCCATCTCCTTAACTCATTTAATTGCTTTACAATAAGGTAAAACACATTGATTTTAAAAATATATGACTAATAATAAATGAGTAACTTTTAAATTAAGTGTAAAAGAGAATAAAAAACTATTCTAATGTCTGATAACTTTTTTGATGAAAATTTGCATGAAAAAATACTTGTAATTTTTTTTATTAGTTATAAATACTTAATTTCAATTGTGTGCGGTATAAAAACAACTACCGAGAACTAAATTTTTATTTTGAGGTAAATAATAAACATTAAATGTAAAATATCATAAACTGAACATTTTTATGATGTTATTTTAATCTTGGATTTTTTCTTTTATTAAAATAAACTTTTTATCTATTAAAATATTTTTGTTTGCTGTAGCGTTTACTCTTTTCAGGTAAATACGAGCCCACAACCATAGTATGACACATTAAATATTTTTAGCTTTCATTATGTTTTCTTTCTCTATTAATTTAATACTGGATTTAGGTTTAACTCTATTTGATTATTTTTCATTGTGTTAAATCTCAAATATAAAAGGTTAAAATGTAAAGCTGGATCTATATAACAAAAAATATCTAACTTTTAAACTTAATCTTAAAGTAAAATTTCTTTGCAACTCAATTTCAATGAAAATCTTACTGACTTTAAAATAACTTATTTCATTTTATGTACATATTAAGTTCATTTTTAATTATTTTAAATAGCTTAAACATTTTAATTTTATATTACATTAAAATATTTAAATCAGAGCAGATTTTTAATTACCAACCTGCAACTTTATTCAATTATTGCCCACTAAATTAAAATATAAGTTTACTTAAAAAAGTATTAAAAGTTTTGAGGACAATCATAATAGTAAAAGTTTCCTGACTGATATGTCGAGAAATTTAAGAGTCACCCCCTTTTCAAACTTACCTATAAGTTAGAACTACTCTTAGAACACTCTTTATCCACTGGTACAGCTTATTTCAATTCTAAAAAGGTGCCCCCAAAATTCTAGGAAAATTCCCCTGTGAAGCATTTATAAACAGATTCAAACAAACACGTTATCTTTTCTACTTCCTATAGATATGCCACTCTTAAAAAGATCCCCCATAAATATAGGTAAAGCAGGATAATTTGAAGCTATGAACATTTCCCTGTCGTAAAGAGGAATCAGCTTAGTAGGTAAACCCCACAGAGATACAAGAGTATCGCCTAGAACAGTGGTGCGCAAACTTTTTTCGACCGCGGCCCCTTTTGCAGAGAGAAAATTTTTGGCGACCCCTAGAGATAAATGTTCACAAATACGATGTATATTTCGCGCATTTCTTTCGTTAANGAGGGAAGTACAAATATTTGACATTTTTGAACATGGAAGAGCCTCATATCGATGTCCTAAAATGATTATTTTAAGTGTTTTTTACCTAATAAAATGAATAAATAATAATAATAAAAAAAAAAAACAAATTTCTTTTTGAAACTATTAAAAAAAAATGAATATAGTTAAAATATTACCATTTACAATGGGGTGTTTGAACCTCCTAAATTCCTCTCTTACCTACATCCCTGAACCCAATCCAGAAGAAAAGGGAACTCCCAGATCAAGTGTTAATAGAAATTTGCCTTTGTGGCGGAACTATCATGCTTTTGCATTAAATGAAGAGGAAAATTACCTATGGTTCAGTCCCCTCCCACGGCAAGGTAAAAAAAAACCATTTAAAATCTCAAATAGTAACATTTATTAAAGCCAGTACGCCTTAATGAATTTGATAAATGCTACTTTTAGGATCAGAACTATGACTATTTCACATTTGACTAATTTATTTCTCGAAACAACTGTAACTGTATCAGGATTGCGGCCAAGGACAAAATAAACAGCACTGATTAGAAAAAAAGAGATTAGAAAATTATAATAATAAAAATCTGGAAGATTCTCTCTTCTTCCAGGAAGACTTAAAGATTGTCCAATAATTTACCTTCATTTTGAGTGATTATTTTCTGCTGTGAAGATGATTCTTGAGGAACAATTACAGTTCTTCTGGGCCTTCTTTCACTTCGTTGTGGCGTTAAAGGAGCTACTGAAACAATACATTGCTTTTAAATAAATACAAACAACAGATACAGAGATAAAAAAAAAGTGTAGTATTTTCTTGGTAGTAAAAAAATGTTAAAATTGGAACATTTTAAAAATAGGAAATAATTATCTAAATTTTCTAAAGGAAAGGGTGCATTTCTATGAAATTTCATAAATGCCTCACTTGCTTGAAAAATTGACGCGTGAGCTTTGGTGTTTCTTTAGGTGAAATTTGAGAACAAACCTAGTTCATCCAATATAGGAAAGGCCAAATTTATATTAAATTTCATGCATGTCCCTTTTTTTTGAGCAATTGATGGGTTGTGTAAGATCGTCAATGTAATTTTGTTGGCAAGCGTAAAGATTACCTGGAATTCGGATTTCGTAAGAATTTTTGATAATAGGAAGTTGATTCTTAAAAGTTAATCAAATAAGAGCTTGTTAACAGCTTTAGGTTTAACACTCTGAACATGTTTAGATAACTAAAATAGGGAGGGAGAAAAACCCTTATTTTGGGCAAATAATAATGCAGTTTATTTCATTCTTCAATAGGTTATGTGAAGAACATTTATTAAGAGATCTGTAAACCAAGCTGTTAAAGGCAGCAATTTTCTGTGTGGGTGGATGACAGGGAGAAAAGTGTAGTGGTAGAGTATTAGTAAATGGTTCTGCAATATACACTTATTTACATAGCTTTATTTCTATGGATAACAAGGATGTCCAAAGAAGGAAGGTGATTGTCAGATTGTTTTTCAACAGTGAATTAAATGCATTAAAGTTAATTGAATGCTCACCTCTACTGTGTAAAGTTCATGATGTATTGTATTAATTTTAACCAAATCTCAATTTTCATGATAAAATTTGAAGTCATATTCTGAGTGTTGGCGGTGTAATGGATCTTGTTTGACTCTGTCAGACAGTTGAATAAATCATTACAACAATAATGAATTTGGAAAAAAAAGATTAATTTTTGACATTACTGAAGAAAAAAGAGGAGTGGTAAAATGGAATTTTTAGGCACAAACTTGCAAAATAGAGACCATTTAGAAAACTTATTGGCAGCCTTACAATTGAAGTAAACCTTTTATTCTTTGATAAAAATAAGCATGATTAGAGAATAAAAAAGAATAAGCTAACTTTGTTTTATAAATTCTAATTTATAGTAAAAATTTGAGAGAATGGTTAATAGCTATTTTGGTATAATTGATGACTGAATATTACACGTTGACATGTAAGGCAATTTAATTTTCAAGACCTGACAGATACTGGACTAGGAAATATTATGTAGTTATATAGCATGACAGGATGTACAACACACAAAAAAAGGGAACTCCTTATTAACTTAACTAATGATGGGATTTACAAATACTATGACTTAATGACTCGTAGTCCTAACTTTAATTGGCGTAGACAGTATTTTATAAAAATAATATTTAGATATTTTATAAAAAAATAATAAGGAACATGAACTATAAGAACAAAACGCAGTATGAGAAAAAAAAATGTCTGTTTCATAACTTAAACTGCACAAATTAAGTAGCATACTTAAAGTTAGTCCTATGGAACATTGAGATTGCATCTTAGAATATAAAAATCTGATCATTAGAGCAAATTAGGCAGCTGCTCTATTTATTCAACAAAAAATAAGTACCTTTTCAGCACTTTTCAAGCACTCAAAAAATATTTTTAAGCACTTTAAAAAAATATCATAATTAGGCATTTATCAAGAGTTGGGAAGTTTTTGACAATTAACAGTTTTATCTTGTTTTAACTGTCATGTCAAAAAAACAAACAAACCCTTTTGGCATTGCTTTTGACAATTGTCAAAAATCATGAAATTTTGAATCATGTAAAACGAATGTTGTTTTCATACATTACAGACTAACAATACGCCGAAATAGATTGGGGTTGAATTAATTATGAAAACGTTGAATAGAACAATGTGAACTGTCTTTTCGCATAATTCGAAGTGAAAATCAACATAGTAAAGGAAAAATATCATTTTGAAAAAGGGAAAATTAAGCACTTTTTAAAAACACTCAATGAAAAAAGCACCTTTAAGGGCTTTTAAAAAACGAAAATCAATACCTTTAAGCACTTTTTAAAAAATGCTATGCACCATGTGCACATAGTATAATTATTTTTGCATTATGTATAATTAAAAAAATATTAAAATGAATAAAAAATAATAATTATTTAAAATTATATTTATAAGTTATTTTAGGATAAACAAACTTTCATAATGGGTGCTGGTATTTTTTATTTGCACAATTAGTTGTGGAAATATGGCACAAAAACAAAATTACAGGGTATAAACTATTGAGTTTTTTTTTTTACTCCTATAGTGAGGGTTAAAACCCAAGTTTGTTTGCAATAAATTACTTCGTGCATGATTTTTCAGTTATATTAATGATTAGCTGAAAGTAGACAGTCTGTTCCAAGCGATACCCTTCTACCTTAAATCAGAAATGAAATACATGAAAATGAGATCATAATTATTCAGGCTACATTTTTTTTGCTGATTACAGACAATTTGATTTAGATCAAAAGGTTAGCAACATTTCAATTGTTTTAATAGAAAATCAAATATATTTCAACATGCATATCAATATGAAGACTCACAATAAAAGTATTAATAAATCTTACGATTGTTCACCGGTGATAAGTTTTTTTTAGGATCATCTCCTTCGTCAGAAGGTGACTTGCTTAAGCTATTATCTTTTTTTGAAGAATTTCTGGACTTGTTTCTGCCTAAAAAATGATAAGAAACCAGATCAAAGCCCCAAGTATCTCATACAAAAAATACAATCTGCTCATTAAATAAATTGAAGCATCACACAGGTATCAGAGGGCAAGTTTTACATAAAATTTTTGCTTTAACCTTTTAAGTGTAAGTATCTGGAGAAGACTGAATGGAATCTATTCCTTCATGAATTGATCATCGATTTCACATAGGCAAAAATTAACAGTTTGTTATACTTTAACCTTTTGAGCTTAAGCACCTGAAAAAGATTTATGAAATCTTTCCCTTTATGCACGGATTTCCCATAAGCAGAAATTAATAGTTTTTTATACAAGAAAGCACATAGGTTTAGTAATAAAAAATTAATAGTTAAATTTTACAATAAAATGGATAAACTGTCTGTTTGTCTAAAGAACTCCCTCACCAGTTGTCGTGAGTACTATTGGTAACTATAGTTGTGAGGTTAAACTATTTTAAATAGGAATGAGGGATAAACATTTAGGAAACATTTCAATTCAAGTTGGCAAAAAAGTATCAAATGCTCCCTTTTTGAAATGCATTTTTACTTGCTTTCATAGCAGCAGACAGTTCCAAGACTGCGACAGGAGTTCTTTAGATAGGAACCTTTTCTTTCATGCACTGGTTTCACATAGGCATAGGCAGAAATAATAGTTTGTTATGCAAGAAAGCAGATTGGTACAATAATGAAAAATTTAAAGTTAAATCTCAAAATAAAATCGACAAACTGGCAATTTAATTACTGTCTGACTAAAGAATATATTTCATCCACATTCTAATATATTTTAGACATATTTCCAGCCTGCGCTTGAAAATCCAAATATTTTGCTATCTTAAAATAGTTGCGTTTTTATACATTCTAATGTGATTGTAAAATTTGACGAGCAACCATGTTGCTAATTGTGTTACACTGTTTGCAAAAACATTGCTATGGTGACTGAGCCAGAGCCAATAACAGTTTTTCCTCCAAGTGAATCAGTTCAGTTTTGTCTTTACTCTGAAGAGAAGTAAATCAGTATTTATATTAATCTGAATTCATACACATGTTATTGGCTAATTTTGAAGAGATTTTATAATTTACAAGAATACTATCTATTGAAAAGAATTTCTTTTAGAATAATGGTTGGAAAAGGAGGATAAACAAGGAGGAAAGAATTTTGTTTAGTTTTGATTAAGAAAAAAAAAATTAATGTGTCATACTTTAATTCTGTAAAAAAAATTTATTTTTATATTTTTGATACTTGTGATCAGATGTAATGAAGAATAAAAAGAAAGAACTTACAGTTATCTAAAATAATGCTATGTAATATGTGACAAAGAACAGTATTTAATTATATATATAAAAAAAAATCAATTGATAGTTTTGACACATTTGGCATCTTACGATTGTTCACCGGTGAAACGTTTTTTTCAAGAGTATCTCCTTCATTGGAAGATTTCTCGCTTAAACTACTAACTTCTTCTGAACAACTTTTGGATTTGTCTAAAAAAGATAGAAAACCACATTAGAGCCCTAACTATCTCACACACACACAAAAAAAAAAGTTTGTTAAATAAATTAACACATTACACAGGAATCAGAAGATAAGTTTTAAATTTTGCTTTGACCTTTTAAGTGTAAGCATCTGGATAAGATTGTATGCAATATTTTCTTTAATGCAATGATTTCCCACAGGCAGAAATTAAAAACTTGTTTTGCAAGAAAGCATATTGATTTAATAAAAAAATTCACAGTTAAATTTTAAAATAAATCAACAAACTGGCAATAGAAATACTCTCTGTCTGACAAAAGAACTATCTCATCAGTTGTCTAGAGCAGTGGTTCTCAATTTTTTTTGGCTTTACAAGACTTAATCAGGGATCCTCTTTTGGCAGAGCCCGAGACTTAAAAAATAAATTAAAATATTTAACGATTGATAGATAATTAATAATAAAATATTTAATGAATGAAAAAAAATGCAATAGTTTCATTACATAGTCTTATCAATAGTTAAATTACGTCAGACAGTTAAATTTACAGGTTTAGTGCAATTAGTTTGCACAAGTTGGCATGCAGTTTTCTAACTTGATTTTGGTATATGTATAATCTGAATATACATAAGCTAAGACTTGGTTTTCTTTGAAATACAGATGAAAAGGACTGAAATAAATGTTGAAAACTGTTAGTACCGAAACATGATTCATTGTTAAATTTGATTACTTTTATTTCATGAAAATACTAATGTAATTTTCCATAAATGTGTCAAAAATTTATTATATATATATTTTAAAAACTTTTGTTTTTGTTTTGCAAAATAAATTTTTTTTTGTTTATATATATATACATATATATAATAAAACTGAGAGCTTTTCTCTTTCTAAAACTGTTTTGTTTCTACGTCAACTTTAACAGAAATTATGAGATTTGAAAAAAAACCCATTTAAATTGGTTTTTACATAGATTTGTACCTTTTTTTCCTCAAAATTAATTTTTTGGTCATTTTCCTTAGTTTCATTACCTTAGCTAGTCATTTTCCTACCACAAAATATTTTAGTTCACATAACTTGAAATTTTGCATAAATGTTTTCTAGACCTATGTCTAGGGAATAGGCAAAGGATTAGTTGACTAAACTATTATTTTACAGCTAAACTAAAAATAACTAAACGATATGTTTTACCAAATAAGTTGCGATATTTACTATAAAATATCTAACTATTAATATTATGTCTAATGCACAGTCTATTCCTGAAGTTGTGTTTTTATGACAATTATAAAGCAAGAATAATGAAAAAATAATACATTTCATTAAAGCTATCTAATTTTGAAATAGGTAAATTTTTGGTGTGTTTTTTAGCTAGTTCTCGCTTAATATTAAAAAAAAAAAGTTTTTTTCAAAAATTATTTTTTTGTATTCATTTTATGTTCTAGTGTTATAGCCCGGTGGCTAAATGGTAGCGCTTCGCGCTCCCGTGCCACAGGTCCTGAGTTCGATCCTCGGGTCGGGCAAGGTTGACTCAGCCTCTCATTCCTTCAGTGGGTCGATAAATGAGTACCAAGCATGCTTAGGGTAAACACTGGGGGTTCCGCGTTCGGCTGACCGCCTGACTGGAACATCTGCCCCTGCACCCCAGAGCCCAAGGTTAAAAAAACTGAGATGGGCACAGCAGGCCTTGGCCCTCTTTGGGCTGTCGCGCCACTGAGCTTTTAGTTTATGTTCTAGTGTATACTACACACATATATCCAAATAAAAAATTTCTAAATTGAAAATTTTGCCCCTAAGGTATTTGGGAACCATAGGTCTTTAATTTCATACCAATAGAGAGCAATATTTTTCAAAGAATAAGAATACTTACTAGTGTGAAGATTCATATAAATTAATAAGCAACCGAGCAACTTTTAAGCAACCGAGTAAAGTAATAAATTTGTATTTTCTATATACTTTTTATTATCCTTGTAACCTTTTATTTAGATCCATCTCTTATATATATATGATAATTTATTTCAGGATTTTTCCTAAGGAAAACACTTTGATACTTATACATCACTGTTTTAAATTGTTAAAACACATGAATTGGAAAATATTAATAGATATTGCATTCAATATATCTGCTTGCTTAATACTTTATTACTTATAAAAATTTAAAGTTTAAAAAGATAAAACATCTTTATCTTTTATTATTTTCAGTTACACACGTTACACATCGTTCAGTTCACATCGTTATTTTCAGTTTTTAAACAAAACTAGTAAAGCTTTTTTTAATAAAATATAATGCTAATTTTATACCTAATAATGTTTGGAATTTTATATCTAATAATGTTGGAAGTAACATAAAACTAAATAGTTATAACAAAAATATATGCATTGATTTAATAATAAATATATGTAAAACTGCTAGTAATATTTTATTCCCTACATAATTTTAAAACAATTTTTTTTAAAATAAAAAGTTTATTACAAAAAAAAAAAAATCACAATTAAGTGTTAAATTCATTCAACTCAGTTCATTTTTACATTTCGTTTAAATAAAACTATAAGCTTAGACATTTTATTTTCATTTCTCGTGACTGAATACTAAACTGAATCAAAAGTTTAAAATAGTTCATAACCAAAATCATCATAATAAAAAATAATTTTTTAGTTAGTAATTTTTTCAAATAGACGTTTATTAAAGCATGAAATAGTTCCTGTTTCATCCAAAACTTGAAATTCGATTTTGAGAAAAAATGTAACTTTTTTTTAATTTTTTGAATTTATTTAAACATTAACAGTTATAAAGTATTTATACATATTTTTAAAAATTTATGACTAGTGTATGAAAGAAAAACCTCTGCATAATTGTTTCTAAAAATACAAAGGCTATTTTAAAAAAAAATTGAAACAAATGATTACCTATTATGATAGGCTCTAATTTTGGCATAGAAGAATCTGAATCAGTTTCAATTCTCTTACAGCTTTTAGGAATTTTATTGTTACGTTTACGTTTAGAAGAAGGTTTAATTTTTGAAGTTTCTTCAACTGAAACTTCTCTTTTATTGTATGAATAATTACTTAAAGTACTAAGTGAACTATCACTAGAATAAATAGTACTAGATCTGAGAGATGAATCATTATTCATAGATTTTGCTCCTCTACTTAGAGAATCAAGATTTTTAGTAGTTAAGGGTATAAAATCTCCATCTTGCGATAACAGACATTCATTTTCAGACAAAGTTCCCACTTTTAAAGTTCCTGTTTGAACATCCATTGAACCTACTGTTTGAATGTCTGAATAACTACTAGAAGAAATGTGTGAACAATCATCACCACTTTCATCTAAAATAGTACTAGTTCTGTAAGATGACTCATTATTTATATCACATATATCTTTTGCTTTTAAAGGAAGCTCATTTGATTCTCCGATTGGAGAATCAAGATTTTCATTAGTCAATGGTTTAAGACACTTATTCTGGAATAACAGACTCCCATGTTTATAAATAGAACTGTGGGAAAGAGCTTCATTTTCACCATATAAAGAAGCAAAGTTTGAAAAAAGTTTGGGATGAGATTGATGATTTATGTTTTTAGATTTATTTACAATAGTTGGACTAGAATTAGAAAAAAGAGTTCGATTTAAATCACTGTCATTCAAAGCAACACACTGTCTAATTTTTTCTGGTTCGTGAGAAGTATTAGTATCACAGCATTTGTAACAATTAACACTTTTCTCAGTGGAATTAGTGGTCTGATTAAATTGAAATATATGTAGTGGGTCATGATTTCTGATTGAGTCAAGATTTGGATTAAGATTATTATTAATCATTGGTGTAGAAGCATTCGCAGGAGTGAAAGAAACTGATGAAACTAGAGGAGTTCTTTCAAAATTATTAACAGTTTGAAAACCAAATTGTGCCACAAATTGTTGCTTCCTTGATGCAGAGCAATCATCATTACCAGTGAAGTTGACAGTTACTTGTATAGAACAAACTTGATTAGAGATGTCATTCGAATTAATATCGTTATTGTAACTATTTACTGAATTATTAGAATTAATGATTTCAGTAGCTGTGCTAACACTTTTGCAATTAACATTTTCAGTGTTCATTCCACAGTCATCAGTTTGGTTTTTTGTAAAAGAATCATTAAATTGTGATACTGAAACAGAAGTGTTTAAAAGTTCTGGTTCATTTGATGAGACATTGCAATTTGCAAAATGGATTAGAGAAGGTGATTGAAAGTAATTCGTTTCAGTAGCTGTGCTAACACTTTTGCAATTAACATTTTCAGTATTCGTTCCACAGTCATCAGTTTGGCTTTTTGTAACAGAAACATTAAATTGGGACAGTGAAACAGAAGTGGCTAAACGCTCTGGTTCATTTGACGAGACATTGCTTCTTGCTACCTGGATTAGAGAAGGTGATTGAAATTCATTTAATTCTTGGTGAATTTCACTCACCATTGAGTTAGTTGAAGGTGATTGAAAGTCACAGGATTCAGTATTATGATTTGAATTAACAAGGGAAATTGTAGATACATTTTGCATACAAGGTGAATTACACTGCTTATCAGTACGAAATAAATCTGTGACAGCCCCCTTTGTTTCTTTATATAGCTCATTAGCCTTAGCAATATTTTCTGAAGTCAGCTCATGACTAACACTCATTTCTAAATTTGTATCAGTTCCAGGTGGAGTACAATATTGCATTTCCCTATCTGACTCAGAAATTGATGTAAATGACTTTTCAGGTGTAGAAATGTATTTTTGAGCTGATTTACTTGGGAGAACATCGTTTAGCATAACAGAAGGATTAAGACTAGAATGTGAAAAAGAACTAAAACTACGTTCAGATGAAGATTTATGAATATTTATATTTGCTTCAAAATCTTGCCTAAAGGAACAATTCATAGATAAAAATGTATCTTCAGTATTATTTGTAAACTGAGATTGTTGGAAAATAGAAGCTGATTTAACTTCATTATTTTGTTTTGATGTCAGCACAGCAGTAGAAGCACATTTTTTTGGCACTTTATTTCCACCAACAAAATCAGAGTCAACCCCAGATTCTGATATGTTTGTACTACAGAATGACAACGTTCCAGCATTTTGATTGTCATCTTTTTCAGTTCCTTTAGCATCTGACTCATTATCAATGCAACTTTGTGATTTAACAGGTTCAGAAGTACTTTGTTGCAGTATTTTTTTACTTGCCATCAACAAGTCATTATTTAATAATGAGAATTCTTTGTTTTGTTCATTGATATTTGAATTTGGCATTTTCTTACTTTTAGTTTTTGGAGAAAGACCCAGAGCAACATTATGACGATAGATATCTACCGGAAAGTTTAGTATCTCAGACACATCAGAAAAAGTAGTAGTTTCTTCAGATGAGGAAAAATTTGAATCAATATTTGAATTTATTGAAGACATATCAATATTACCACTTGCATCATCATCTAAAAATGAATGTCTTTTTGATGGAGAAAGTTCCGTCGGCACTGTACAATTGTTTGTAATAGTTGTGCTACACTGAATTTCTTTGTGAGAATTGTTCAGGTAATGTGAATCCTTAAATAATTTTTTCCTTTTTACTTTGGGTGATTTTTTGGGTTTATTAACGGTGTTTTCCTTCATTAAAAATAATTCATTATAATTGTTTTCAGAAACAGAAGATTTTTTCTCTTCCGAAATGTCTTTTAATTTATCTTTCTCCTTTGTTTTTTTACCATATGATTCAATAATGGAATTATCATGCTGAATATTTTCGGGATTAGAAAAATTATTAACTGAGAGAATTGTATTTGAATTATCAACACCAGGAATATTTAAACATTCATTAGGCATTTGAAGTTTTTTGCTGAAATGTTTCTCAACTTTTTTACTCTGGCTTTGGTTTTTAATTTGACGTAATACGTTTTTAGATTCAGAAAAGTTTTTGACAGGTAAAATTGTGTCGGTAGTATCAAATTCAGTAATTCCGTTATGTTTAGTAATCTTTTTATCTCGAGATAGCTTCTTTGACTTTTTAGAATGATTTTGCTCTTTTTTCTGGCTTTCAGATTTTGATCTTCTTCTTTTAGTTTTTATATTACAATCTGGTTGTTCATGAAAAACTTTTTCTTGGTCTAAAGTACTTTCAAAATCATGCAACTCTTCAATATTTGAAGTAGATTTGGATCTATTCCTTTCTGAATTTAAATTGCAATCATATTCTTTACTTGATTTACTTATTTCTGCAACAGTCTTTTCAGCCTTTTTAGATTTTTTGGGTTTCTGAGAATTACAAGGGGGTTCAAATTCCTTATTTTTATCAGGTTTCTTTTCTGTTTTTTTCTTGTTCTCCTTACAATTTTCTGATGACTGTTTTAAAATTTTATCTTTTTTCTTCTTTTTATGATTGCGCCTTTCACTTTCTTCATTTTTGCTTTTTTGTTTTTTTGATGCTTTCCCCAGTGACTTATCAAATATTCCCTCCATTGAATTTGATAATAAATCATAAAGGTCTTTATCTATATCTAGCCCATCAATATCATAAAAAGTCCTTTCTGTGGCTATACAAGATGTAGTAGTTTTAATACCATTGAAGTCATTCTGCGTGTTAGATGCATTTGATTCCAGAAGAGCTTCAAGTAAATCCTCAGAAACATTTCTTTTTAAACTAGACTTAAATGGAACATCATTGTTTGATGCAGGCATATTTAGCTTAGAGTAAGTGTCCTCTTCTTTTTTTAAGGTAGTTTCGTCAGTTTTTGCTTTCGATTTTCTCTTGTTCTTTTTATGTTCCTTTACTGATTCTTTCAAACGCTTTTCTTTCTTTTTCTTTTTATGACTGAGCCTTTCACTTTTTTTATTTTCAAGTTTTCGTTTTTTTGATGCTTTCTCTAATGATTCTGAACAGCATACAACATTTATTTCATTGCATTTTCCGTCCATTGGATTTAATACTGTATTATGCAGATCTTTTGTCATATTATTGATATCATTCAGGTCATTTTGAACTACTGATTCAAGAAGATCTACATCTAACTCGTCATTTAAATCTTTTGAAATATTTTCTTCCAGAGAGACATTAGATGAAACATTAATGTCTACACCTAGTTTAGAATTAGACTCTAATCTCTCAATCACTGTCACAGGGTTTTCGTCTAGTTTTTCTTTAGATATGTTCTGGTTCTTTTTATGCATTTTTGAAACTTTATCTTTTTCTTCCTTTTTATTTTTCGACCTTTTACTAGCTTCATTTTCAAGTTTTTGTTTTTTGGAGGTTTGTTTTACCGATTTTGGAGATTTTGTTTCACCAGACATTCTTTCAAATGGATTTAGTACTTCCTCATTTAGATGTTTTATCCTCTTATTGGCATCATTAGAAAGGTTTTCTACTGTTGTAAAAGATGTAGTAGTTTCAACACTATTTCGTAAGCTAGCTTTGTCTAATGAATCCAGGAGACCTTCATCTAACACACTATTTAAATTTCCTGAGACATTAGTTGAACACTCATCAATGTCTAATGCTGGTACACTTGCTTTTGAGTGAGTTTCAAATTCATGATTTATTTTTAAAGCAGTTATATCAGGTTTTTCTTTAGATTTTTTCTTATGCTTTTTCTTTTTCTTTGATGATTCTTTTGAAACTTTAGCTTTCTTTTTCTTATGTCTGTCTTTTACACTTTCTTCCTTTCCAAGTTTTTGTTTTTTTGAATTTGATGTCTTTTGCAATGATTCAGAGCAGTGACTAACATTTGTTTCACCAGACATTGCTTGAATAGCATTAAGTACTTCCTTATTTATATTTTGATCTATCATGCTGCTTTTGACATCATTCGAAGGATTTTCTGCTGTTATGCAAGAAGTTGTAGTCTTTACAGCAACCAATCCATTTTGAAAGTTAGTTTTATCTAATTCCAAAAGACCTTTATTTAACTCGCAATTTAAATTTCCTGAAATATTTTCGTTTGCAGTGACATTAGATGGATATTCGTCAATGTCTAATGCAGATGCAATTAGTTTTGAGCAAGTTTCAACTCCATCATTTAATTTTAAAGCAGTTATATCAGGTTTTTCTTTAGACTTTCTCTTATGCTTTTTATTTTTCTTCGATGATTCTTTTGAAATTTTAGCTTCTTTCTTTTTATGGCTGTCTCTTACACTTTCTTTCTTTTCAAGTTTTTGGTTTTCTGATACATTTTGTAATGATTCAGAACAGTGATTAATATTTTTTTCACTAGGTATTCTTATACCGTTTAAGCCATTTTGTGAATTAGTTTTATCAAATGATTCCGTATCTTTATCTAATTCTGTATTTAAATTCTCTTTTGAAGTGACATTGGATGGAACATTATAAGCATCAATATTGGCTACTTTTAAAGATTTTCTTTTGCAAAAACTATCTTCACTTAAAATCTGTAAAAGAGGGAGTTGAAATTAATAATGCTAACAGATACAATAATAAGAAGGAGACTTAACTAATCATTTTATTAAAGTAAAAAAAGAATATTCAAACAAATAAAATAAATCTCATTTCAGAGTGAATGTCAGATAGAGTGTTGTGGAAGAATATGTTAGTTAAAAAGTTTTACTGCATGCTATATTTCATTCACTAACGAAAGTTTTAAATTAAAAATGATAATAAAGATTTTCTACATTAAGAATAATTTTCATAAAAAGGGAATTTAACCCTTTGATGTAGATGGAACCCTGGCATCCCTTTTATATACAATAATAAGCTTCATTCTTTACCGATGAATTCATCAAAATCTATAACCTACCATATTTTTCTGCTCACAGATTCGCAGTTTTATGTAGAGAAAAGCATCTTCAATCGTATGAAACACTTTTAAAGAAATAGTCAACATCCATTGCAAAAGTTTGTTTTACTTACTACATTAGCGTTTTTAACTTACAGATTTTAGCAAAATCTATTTTCATTTACATAAGTTTGATATTTTTTCACGGGTGCATGTGCATTTCACCAGAACTGAGAAAAGCGTAAGAAGTGAGCCCATGCAATTGCTTGAAATCTTAAATACGGGAGCGTACGAAAGCTAATGTAAATTTAAGAAATCTCCCTAATGATTACAAAACTAATCATATCGCAATATACATTAGGCTGTGCTAAGCAATGGAGTGTGGAAAAGGGGCATTGGGAACAATGGGTCCAAGAACCTGACTAAAGGGAACATCCAACAAACTTTTTTTTTTATTTCTAATGGCAAGGCAAAAATAAAAATAAATGAACAGGAACAGAAGTAAAGATGACACAACAAATTAACCGAAGTCATTGCCTCATAAGTTCCCTGGCCTTCCAATAAAGCCCAGTCTTGGAGTCGCCCCCAAGGACTGCACAGTGGTGGTGTCTATTCATAGGGGTATTAGAGTTACAGAGGGGGCAGTAAGGGATTAAGAAGATCTGAATACAGTGAAGGTGATCTGCAAGGCAATCATGTCCGGTTAGAAGACGAAATTGGGCTACAGCGTGCCGACGTGGACTGCCAGGAACCCTCAAAAGATCATCAGCTTTCCAGCGCTTAGATTTTACTCTGTCATTTATTTGTTCACTGAATTGCCCTTTTAAAGTTTGCTTTAAATAAAGCTTCACAGAATGAAAAGAAAGTGGAGAGGAACTCGATTGAAGAATCCTCAAGCCCTTTTTTGCCAGGGCATCTGCTTGTACGTTTCCAAAGAGGCCGCAGTGGCCCGGCAGCCACTGGAGAATCATGCGTTTCTGTTTTTGACACAGTTCTTGTAGATCTTGCCGACACTGGGTGACTTCATTTGTTGCAGCCAGTCCAGCTGAACTGATTGCCTGAATTGCGGCTTGGGAGTCAGATAAAACAACCACTTTGCAAAATTTATCTTCAAAAGTTATTAAGTGCTTAAGAGTAATGCGAATGGCTTCAACTTCATCATCGAAGGCAGTTCGGTGTTTCCCTGTGGAGGCATAAAAGGAGAATAAGTTTGAGAAAACCCCTGCACCCGCCGAGTTGAGATTTTCATAAAAAGAGTCATCTGTGTATAAGAGCAACCACTCCGGTCTGGGTACCTCTTGTCAATAGTTTCTAAAGCATAAGACCTTAGAACCTCTGGAGAGTTGTCTTTCTTGAGAAGCCTGACAGAAAGACTCAGGTTTATTTTGACTTGGACCAAATCCAGTGGATTAGGAGGCTTTGGAATCTCTACAATGTTAGTTGGCAAATCAAAATTCTGCCTGAGGTCCCGAACAAATTGAACAAAGCTTTTTTGAGTTTTTAAATTTCTAGCATTTGTTGGGTAATCTCTCCAAAAAGAATTTATTCTAATTTGCTTTTCATAAAGAATCAGAGCTTTTTCTTTGATTCTATCACTAATAGGTTTATAATACATCAGCAAGAGCATTGCATCAATCGGGGTCGATTTGACTGCTCCAACAAACTAGTAATATTGTTTTTGTTATAAAGTTAAAGTATTTATTTTTATTAGGAAACTATTTGAATTAACCATTTGACGCATATGGGAAATCCATGTCCCTTTTTATATATTTTTTTCTGACACTCTAATTACAACAAAAGTACATTTTGGTATATCTTAATTATAATAAACAGTCTAATAGTAACTACAAAATTCTGTTAGATTTATCAAAATAGTATTTGTAATAAAATATAAAAAAAAGTTGTCATAAAGATTTTTTTATATTTATATCAAAAAGTTTATCAATAATTTAGTTTGCAAATTAAAGAAATTTCAATGATGAATAAAAATTAAAGAAATTTTAAAAATTGTTTAAAATATTTCACCTTTAATGCAGAAAAAGGCTCTGTTTCATGCTGTATTTTATAACCATAGATTATTAGAATGTTAAATATAATATTTTTTACTAATTCTTATCTAAATTATGTAAAATAATAAAAAAGTATGAAACAAAAAACTATTTAATAATAACAGTTTGTTTAATCAGAAAAATAAGATGACTTGGAATATCTAAGTTATCACTACCATTAATTTTTTCTGATTTACATCTTGCTGATAGAGATAATGTATTTCTCTAAAAGTTATATGCAGGTCCTAAGTTTAATTTTTCTTCAGTAAAATATAGTATTTTTAAAACATTAAGGATTAAATGAGGTTTTTGTATTTATTCTTTTTTTTTCCTATGGCAGCTGTAATATGGAATTGGTTGAAACAAAATTTGTCAGGTCGAGAAGCTTGCATCTGGCTTTAGGAAACACAGTAAAAATAAGAAGTATCTCAGAGTAAATTTTGCTTCAATGACATTACAGCGAATTGAAAGCATTTTTTTCTTTAAGCAATTTTCAGATAATAATCACATTTGTTTACTATAAATCAAAAGAGAGACATAAAAAGTAAAGATTTTCTTGGTTTCAAGTGATTGCACTACTTATGAATTTCATATTTATATACTTTAAAAAGAGGTTGCCAACGATGGAAATAGAATAATATCAGACTTTGTACTCTACAAAGACTTTGGCATTCATTCTGTTAGATACTTTGTCTCCTAGTATAAAACAAAATTTATAATTTGTTTTCTTCTAAACTTAAAATCTCTTTAATTCCTTTTCAGAAATAAATCTTCCTTCGCTTTGTTATCTTCAACAATATTTGGTTAATCACAAAAATTTCAGGACTTGTTTTTAAAGAATTTAAGGAATTTTAGAATAAGAATGAGCCCTAGTTAATGCCATTAATAAAATTTTTGAATGCAAAGTTTATGTTTATTCTAGAGATTCACCTAACAACATTTTAGGCTTAGCCGAATAAAGAGATTTGGCCAATTCAGCCAATAACAATTTATGTTGTGATTATTCTTTTTACAATTATTATTATATAAAATATTGTCTTCTAAGTTATCCACAATTGTACCTAATAACAAAACTTAAATTTATAATTTAAAGGTTTGTGTGTATTAGTATTGAACACATGGGACTAAAAACCATTCAATAATTAATAACATATTTTATTTAATTTGAAAGTTGCAAAGAAATAAACATGTTACAAAATATTTAGGTAATAATTATAAGTGCCATTTTAATGGTTTGAAAAATAAGTTATAAAAATATTGCATGAGACATTCGTTAAACATTTTTAGCTTTAAAACTTATGAAAACAATAGTGCCACTATTTTTATTATCTACTTGGGCAGAAGTGCTAGTAGAGGACAAACTTAAAAATTTTCTTTCAAAATTATATTTTATTTAATAGTTATAGGTATAATAATTAATTTTTTTTAAATACAGTAAAACCTCCATTAAGCGGACATTCTAGGGACCGAAAAAACTGTCCGTTTAGGAGAGTTGTCCGCTTACGGGAAGGGTACCCTAATAACGAAGTTTAACACTGTTAATTGTTTTTAGAATATTTTCAAAGATGTAGAAATTATTTAATTTACAATAACTATCTACAAGGATATTTCTTTAAGCTTTAAGAAAAAGAAAAAAGAATATATAAAGAAGTTTCATATAAATACATAATTCTAGATGTAGTTACAGATAAATTAATATAATTTTCCTATTGGCACAGATACTCAAGTCAGACATATGATATCGAATAGGAGATTTCAGTCATCAGTCGGTTTCAATTTATAGGTAAATATAAAGTGTAACATCCCCTTACACCTACCTATCATTGGATGGGGAACATGATTGATACCTTCATGAAAGTAAACCTCCCACTATTCACAGTCATTCCCAGCTAAGTTATGAGGACCTATGATCAGCTATCAAGTGTCTGAATAAGTGTTTCATTTATATCATTGTTTCTCAACGGGGGCGATACCGCCCCCGGGGGGCAGTAGGAGTATGCTGAGGGGCGGTGAACTTGTTTTGGGCAGTAGGGGGCGTTGGATATGTTTTGGGCGTTAGGGGGGCGATGAGCATGTTTTGTCACTTAAATTTAATTTTGAAACTCCCAAACAAAATTATTAAACTACTATTGATTTAATAAATAAAATTAATGTACAACTAAAGTTAAAAGAAAGATTAAATCAATATATTAAATTAAGATTATCCGATTCACCATTTTGTACCAGCAATAAAACAAACTTATGTGATCTATATTCTCGAATTCGAACCAGCGCAAAGCATGAGTCAGTTTTTTTGCCTCTGACTCATACGAGCCATTTGGCGAAATTTGAAATGCATGTGCTTTCAGTATGAATGTTTGGTTTGACCCATGTTTCTTATGAAGGTTTTCGTTAACTTCCTTTCAGTCTTTTCCCCCAGTTTCAATTCAATTTCGCAGTTTACTTGGCTAGGTTCGTGAGCGAATTAGTTCTTTATTGTAAATTATTTATTAATTTTGAAAAATAGCTGATTTTCTTTCACCGTTTGTATTTTGCTGTCTCTAACGATGTCGTTAAACAAAAACAATTGTCGTCAATACAGTGGCACGTACTTGAAGTTCGGATTTGT